TTGTTCCGCCGACGATATTTAGCAAACCCAGTTTCATCAATAGTTGTTTGAGAAGAGTATTCCTTGGGGTAATGCTTACTACATTTCCCATTCTTCATGCACACATTATTAGGACGTACTGTACCACACGGGCCATGCATCATTGAACTTGTGACAACTGCATACAGTTCAGGATCAAGATCAGGATCCGGAATTTTAGCACATATTATGGAATCAATAGCCGCAGGACCATGGAATTTATTCTCCGAGGCCAAAAAAGCAATATGTGTGCATGAGGGAGACCCCGCTTTTGCCATTCAATTGCTTTGACATCTGTACAGCAAGATGCAAATAGTGGAAAAGGAATATTAGTTCAATGAGGTAAGAGAGTAATGGATGAACATTAATAGATAAATAACGAATGAATAAGCACACATACATGCATTGATTTTCCCAAATATTTGTTTCTCGCGAATCTCTAACATAAACTCATCAAGCTTGATTTTGAAAACTCTGGCGGTGATGTCAGCCCGGTCAGGATCTTTGCCACTTTACCTTCTAATCAAATCAACCATTAATTGTATCTCTGGCCAGTTAGAATTGCAAGTGAATGTTATAAACAAATCAGGATAACCAATCCACTTGCAAATAGCCATCGCATCCTGAAAATTCTCATACTTGTATCTTGGACTACCAGTGTGTGAGGCAGCTAAAATAACTGGCTTCCCAGAAAGCTTGATATCACTATCCCCTCGCAAATAAGAATTCAACAAATCCTTGTAGTAGTGTCCTCTTAGCTTCGACTGATGGGTACGCATCCAGTCTAAGCGTTCAGCCTCAATTAACGCAAATGCATTCACCATATATTGTTGAAATAATTTACCAGATAATAACAGAGAATTCGACTCCTGGAGACGGGTTTGAAGACAATATGCATAGAAATCACACTGGGTTATCATTTTATCTCCAACACTGATATTAGAGCTACTGTGACTATAGCTAATGCAGGGATGCCACCCATCCTCGCCATATGGGAATAAAATTGGATATTGTAATGCCATCGGACTTAGATGGTATACGCTAATCCTTTCCATTTCTGAACCCTTCTATTGAACAATTATATCTGGAGAAAATGATTGCTCTCCTATTTCATCTACAATCAATGCTGCAATCTCATTCGCAGAGGGCAAATCATATTCTCTACTATTAATTTCACGCTTAGCCAATAGTTTCAGTTGAAGCTCCTGGACACCAGAGTTTTGTATCCTATCTCGCGCAGAACGAAATGTACGTACCAGGATATTATTGTCATCAAACATATGCTGGAGGCCTTCAACAATACACTGGCGCAACGGATTCTTGGCAGGATCAGTGGAGTAAAAGTCCATACGATTCTGCACCTCGTTATCTGAATCGTGAATGTAAAGTTGTGCAAATTTCGGACTATCCCCATCACCAGGAACCAAACATCCTATTCGATGATAAATCCGACCACCGATTGAATATACATAAACTCCACGACCATCATTAATAGAGTGATTGACTTTACCTCCGAGAGAAATAAAGCAAAAAACCCCATTATAGGCTCTGATGTTAGTACGAAAGTGACGCGCTAATGGTGTATCCCCTTCAAGTAGAGTTTTAAGAAATTCGGGCACATCTCTGCGGGGAGGCAATTTCACTTTACCATGTTTGCAACATAAAGGAAATGTAGGCAACACATCATTACGTGTAGATAAAGTACTCTCGAACCGCCACATAACTGCTCCACAATGTTGACACGTACATGAAGGTGGACCAATATCAAAAAATTCAACCAACGGAAGACCTAGTGAAATAGATAAGTAATATTAATAAATTTTTGTCACAGTAATTCATAAATTGAATGAGATTGAGAAACTGTGAAGCCGATTTAGGCGCGCTATAGTAAACACAATTATTAAAATAAATGTTCTCAAGGCAAGATAGATTGGTATACCGCTCATTTTAAGTAAGAATAAGTCAAATTTCAGGAAACACCAAAGTTTGTTCATAACACACAAATTTGTCGTTGACACATCAACATCTAAAAACAATCCACTATTTGCATAAGGTGACATGAAGCGTACATCACTAAATTATATGCATGGCATAAATGGGTACATTATATGTTCTAAAACCAAAATAGGAAACAAAATATGTTGACCAGAACACAAAAACATATATCCAATGTACAAAAACTAAACCAAAATAGAGATGAACCATTTCATGTATAATAGTGGCCATTAGAATCCACATACTTTGATTGACTTCTGTAGGAAAGAAACTTCGGCCACGTCTCTTTCTATGCAGATGAATACGTCGAAGTAATCGACTTTGCTTTTGTAATAGAAATCTAAACTCCGACTCCAAAACTATGAACAACACCAAAACACATACGATATTAAAGAAATAAATAAAGATTCAACAATCTAGAATAGCCTAATTTGTAAGACTTGCTACAAAATTTAGCAAACAACAACCTTGGTGTTCAAAAGGCAAGCCCCTCCTATGAACCTTCTGTTTCAAAATATGATGTCTTCTCTTACGGGCGACTTGGGATAGTATTCGCCGAAGTTGAGAGAGTTGGAATTGTAAGGCAGCTTCTTCTACAGAATTTAAATATAAAACCATGTATTACTCATTGAATAGATGAACTAATTAGAAAAATTAAAACACAGATAACACACCTCTCTCAAATGCTTCTTCCTCTTCAGCAGATAAAACACAGCGTTGGTACTGATCTTCAGGATGAATAAACACTGCTCGACGTTTCCCTAAACAAATGAGATTCAAGGGAAAATATTAATGTCAGTTTGCATTGAAGCAGTTGCGTGCTAAACCATGACACTCACATGGTACAGACGATCGATAAATCTGTGGTTGGGCAGATGGGATGACATTTGCACTATCCCTATTAAATTCTCCAATAACCTGATGCAATCTGAAATAGAGGTCGTGGTAAATGATGCACCCGTTCCAGTAAATTTTGCAGCTGCCATTCATATAAATTAATTAATTGTTACAACAGAAGTTGAACTCCTCGCCAATTATAAGTTTGTGCGAGTTAATGACACATACAACACACCACACAAACATAACAGTCGAAGAAAAATATAACTATATAAGGCATAATTTAAATTGATGAACAAAACACATATAACAGAATGGCTTCCAAGCTTGGGGATGCAAAGGAAGAGCGAGAAGGACAACAATGTAATGGCCAACACAAATATAATTCAAAGGCATCCATAAAAACCATATCCAAAGAGAAGTTTGAAAAAGAAGCAAGCTGGCAATAAGAAAAGCACTATAAGTGCTTACCAATTCTAGTTCTTCTAACTATACCAAGCTTATCCCTTCTTTCAATTATGCAGTTTACGCTTTGTACTTTTAGCACAAATGGATTCCAACTCTAATGTCACAATACAAATACAATGCAAATGAAGTTGAAGAACAATAAAACAAACTAATGGAGTGAGATAAAACTGTCCAATGATCTTATGTAATAACGGGAAAAAAGCCTGGTAGAACCAATACACTAACCAGTGGAGCATGCTTATCAATACCGCCTACTTTATTCTTCTTTAGTGATTAGAGTTGAAAGTACATTATCAGATCATAGCCAGTCCCATTAGATTAATTAACCTAGAAACATATGAGAGAAAACCTTACTGATCAAGTTGGATTTCGACATTTACCTGCAACAGAGTTAACATAAGAAAGTAAATTGATTATGTCTCATACGTGGTGGCGGGTGGGGGACGGCGTGCCAAATTTCGTTGGCGATGAGCTGGTTCTGGACTCAAGTAGGCTGGGCCTCTGAAGTATGGGCTGGCAAGAGAAATGGATCCCCGAGGCCTTATGGTTTACGCTTTCCTTTTCCCCCGCCAGGCCAGCGGTAGTTTATAGCCGGCCCTTCGGTTTACTGACCCGGAAAACGACCCGGACGAAGTACCTGGCTGCCGCCGCCGAACGTCTCTTTCTTTCCTCTTCTTTCTCTGCGGCCCGGAAAAACTCAGCTCAAAATCGGCAGTCGGCTGCTCTCTGGAAGACAGTCTAAGCGAAGTGGAATTTAAAGTAAGCAGCTTTGTTACTTTCAAGAGAAAGGGAAAAATCAAAAATCCCCTTTTGATCTCCAGAGAATCCAATCAACAGAATGAAGCGAGGAAGGTAAGAGAGAATAAAGAAAACGGAATGAACCAAAGGTAAGGGAGATGAATCTTTGCAACCGAATCCCTGAAAAAAAAAACCCAGAACCCGAATCCCTAAAACTTAAAAGCAGCGACAACAACAAACAGAAATCTGAAAGAGGAAGAATAACTTACGGCAAAACCAATACCGATCTAACGCTTAGAGAACGGAAATCAAAGGTAGATGCAAGCACATAAAAGAACCAGATGATTGAGTCAAGGTTTGGTTTTCTGAAGGCCAAGAAACTTATTCGAATGAGGTGAAAGAGTAGAAGGAAGGGAAATCGAAAATAAAAAATACAAATTAATACAAATTAAATGAGAACGTGGGCCTGGAAGGAGAAAAAAGTGGGTAGTGGAGAGTTTTTTATACAAATTAAATGAGAGCGTAGGCCTGGAAGGAGAAAAAAGTGGGTAGTGGAGAGTTTTTTGGTTCTGAAATCAAGCGGGACTCTTTTTTTCCCGCTTAACACTCTGCCACATCAGCTTCCTAAAATCACTCTATGGGCAGGAAATTTTGAATGGGGGTTGCAGTTTTACTTTTCAGCTATATATTATACCGTTGATTCAATTGTATTGGTAGTTTCATGGATTGTCAAAAAATTACTATGTAGTACCTATAATTTCTATATTTTAAAATTCGATACTAAATTTCAGTTTTTTTACTGAAATATATTCTCACAAATTATATATTATTACCTAACCTTTTTTGTAATTACATTTTAGCATCTAAACTTTTCAAAATTTTCATAAAAGTACGTACAAGATTTATATGTCACCTGGATTAATCATGAAACCAACAATTCAATCCGCGAATCCAACAATTCATTTAATCCAACAATTCATGGATATCAACGAAAATTTACTGTCTTCAATATAAATCATCATATAAATCAAAAGTAGAACTACATGGGGAACATAATGAAAATTGATCAAAACGTAGATACGAGGAGAACCAAACGGAGGAGTTGGCCATGCATACATGTAAGTAAGTGTACACTGTATATATATCACTTCTTGTTGAAGCTGACCTGGCAAATCTTCAGCTCGACGCTGCCAGAAGCCTTACCCGAACATTCCTTGGTGACTCGGCCGACAGCGACACCGACACACGCCCCACATTTGACGTCATCCTTCCCTTTCACGCACGTGGCCGTCGCTTCTCCTTTGGGCCCGAACTCGGTATTCCCCGTGTAGCTAAAACCGCCGTCCTTGTCCTTGTGTTTCGGGGTTTCCCCGACAAGCTTTCCCAGGAGACCCGTCATGCCCATCCAGAATCCCAAGTCGTCGGCGCTGTCGTCGCTGCAGGTGGCGTTCTTCACCACGTCGAAGTCGCCCATGTCGTCGGCCATCGACGTCCCGGCCAGCAACAAGAGGAGGGCGAGGGCGACTGCGCATGCTGCAATTAAGTGTACCTTTCCTGCTGCTGCACCCGTCTCCATTGGTTGCTTAATTACTTCGTTTGGAAGGAACGGAATTAAAAAAATATTTCTTCTCGCTTTCGTTTTGGGATTTGATGATGATGATGAAATTGATGATGAGGAAACTTGCATTTCCCAGAGACGTTTTTATAGGCGATCGACGGTGTGCAAATGAAAGATGCCACTTCTCTGTCGTGTAATAAGATGTATAGTGAAAGGGTTCGGCTCCGGCTATAGGAGTTTCGTTGCCATGGGTATTAGGGCTATGATCCGTTTCTCTGTCGTTTATTCGTGTTGTCTGAGTTCAAATTACAGGATTTGCTGCTCACAGATGGTTTCCAATAATTCTGTTTGGTGTCCCAGTATTTATATATTCCAATAGGTACTATAGGTAGGGCGCCTTAGTTTGGCTCAAGATAGGGTGAGTAACCTTAGGATGAGTAACAATGAGTAACCAAATCTGAACCCTTCTTTTAAGTAGCTGTAGATTAAAGAAATTTATTTTTCCTAATTTTCTTAATTGGATCATATCTTCTTCATTCTAACTCAGATTTTAATTTTTTTTTGCACAGAAGGAACGAGTTCGTTGTGCTCTACAAAATGATATCCATTTTCAAAAATTTTTGAGAAATTTTTTTTTCATCCCTCTCGTTACCAACTCTATAACATATGGTATCTCCTTCGTTGTTTTGTCATTTTCGAAAATTTTTGCACAAAAGGAACGATTTAATCATGATTTATTAGATTTCAAAATTTTACGGGGGAAAAAATTTCATACCTCTCGTTACCAACTCCATACCATACTATACCACCCTGGTATGAGGTGGTATTTTTCATACCATATGGTATGCTGTTATTTAATACCAGTCAATACCGGTAATAACTGGCAATTTTTTTTTGTTCCAAAAAATATCAAAGTGGATATCATTTTGAATCGTTACCAACTCCATACCATACTATACCACCCTGGTATGAGGTTGTATTTTTCATACCTTAAGGTATGCTGTTATTTAATACCAGTCAATACCATATGGTATTGACTATACCATATGGTATTGACTGGTAATAACTGACAAATTTTTTTTGTTCCAAAAAATATCAAAGTGGATATAATTTTGAAGAGCACAATTAATCTGATCTAGCAGTGCAAAAAAAATTAAATTCCGAGTTAAAACGAGTGAGAAATCGTCTATTAAATATTAAGGGAAAAAAAATTAATGATTTTTCCAGGAAAGAGAAGGAGGCGCTGATGTGGCAGATTCTTATTGGGTTATGCATGGAGTTACTCACTACAAGGTTACTCACCGGATCTGCTCCACCTTAGGTCGGGACAGTAATGGAGAAAACCATTGAAATGACCTCTCTCCTCTTTTAATAATATAAATATACGAAAATTTAATAACCGACTAATTAAAATAATTATTATTTTCGTAAATAAGTATGACGAGGTTTCATATCCAACAATTTGATGTTGAATAACACTGTCATGGATAACAAAAGAGAATACGAACAAGAATTCTATCGTTTAGCGAGAGTTACGGAGCTACGGAAACTCTAGGGTTTTTCTGAGTTTTCTGATTTTTTCTGAGAAGTGACCGACAATTGGATTTATAGACCTGTAAGGAGTACTTATTCTGCAAGGATTATTACTTGGGTTTTCTCTGCTGGAAGATGATGAAGAGCCACCGGAGGTAAAGGATTCGGATGTTGATGTAATATGGATGGAGACTATTCGACGTCTAGAGTTGATCGCATTAGCAAAAGCTTGGAAGCTAAGAATGGGTTTGGTAGCCGAAAAAGAACCCAACATAAAAGCAATGAAGATTGCATTAGCAAAAGCTTGGAAGCTAACAATGGGTTTCCTGATCATTGATTTGGGGGATATGCTATTTGCATTCCAATTTTTAGACATGGATGATAGAAATAAAGTATGTTATGGAGGGCCTTCGCATTATGAGGCTTAGAGCGCATCTATCAATCAACAACCCTCTAAAAACGAAGCTGAAGCTAAATATCAATGGGAAGCTGGTAGAGCACCTAGTAAAGTATGAGAAAATACCCCATGTTTTGCTATTCACGTGGTAGGGTTGGTCATCTAAAACTGAGATGCAAGATGAAAAGAAAAATCGGGAACTGATCCCTTTAGTCAGGAGCTAAGAGTTATAGCCCCAGGGCCTAGGAACTGGCTCTCCTATACGACAAAGAAGGAGGATGCAGAAGTATGGGCTTCCTTTAGGTAGAAGTTTGAAATTGAAAGCATTAGATCAAACTCGGATCATGACATGGTTCTGGAATAAGAGGAGAGTAAAATACAAGTAGAACAATATCATATGCAGTAAAAAGAGAAAGAGAAGATACAAGAGACAGTGAAATCAAAGAGTGAGAAAAGCAAGAAGGATCCTTGCAAAAATTTGTGATGAGAAGTGTGGAAGGTAAGCCAGTAGGTAGAAGCAATCATAGGGTGTGAAGATGACACTATGCATCACAAAGACCTGTAACAATGACTCATATTACACATCAGAAAAGAAAGGCAACACCAGTGAATGAAGGGGAAGGTGAGAAATCCTTGATCACTAAGAAGGAGAAAATGCTAAACTTCACTGAAAACCAATGGATGACGACACAAACAAACAAAGATGGAACGAATGGAGAAGTGGCAGACCCTACAAAGGAGCAGGGACGCCAAACTCAATGAGTTACTTAAGTTACAGTTGTTGGGGTTTGGAAAACCCGTGAAAATTAAGAAACTGAGTCGATTGATCCATAAACAAAACCTTAGGGTGGCTTTCATTATAGAAACAAATAAGAAGGGAAAAGAGTTGGAGGAAGTAGTTGGAAAGTTTTAGGGATATAAGGGTTTTGGTGTGGGATCTGTTGGTAAAGTAGGTGGATTGCTAGTGCTATGGCAAGAGGGTGTCAATCTGGAGGTGAAGGGACACTCAACAAACTATATTGATATGTGTATAAATGACGAGGGAAAGATTTGGAGATTGACTGGGATATACGGATGGTCAGAACAGGGGAAGAACCATATGACCTGGGATCTGTAAGATACTCCATAGACCTAACAGACACACCATGGTGTGTTGTGGCAATTTCAATGTCATACAAAACTATGTCGAGAAGAATGGTTTACACTTAGCAAATGGAAATGAAAATGAAGGTTTCAACACAACACTCAATGATTGCCAATTGGAGGACTTAGGTTATTACGGTAAGTCATATACTTGGGATAACAATCACAAGGATGAGACCTACCTAGAAGAAAGGCTGGACATGATGGTGGCTTCAGAATCTTGGAGGCTGCTCTATCTAGATGCATGAGCAGGGGTCTATCATCTTCTGAGGTGTAGTTCTGATCATAATCATATTCTGCTGAAAAGCAATGTTCTAGTGGAGGTAGTGAGATGCAAACAATATTTCAAATTTGAATCTTATTGGCAAGAACATAAAGATTGCAAACATGTGATCAAGGAGGGTTGGGAAGTGAATGGTGGTGGCTAAGTGATGGGGAAACTTAAAAGCTGTGAGCAAAAGTTGAATAGTTGGAGCAGACAAATCTTTGGTAGCCTTAGAGCTCGAAGAATTCAAGCTAAAAGAGCAATAGAGAAAATTGAAAAGTGACAGATTACATAATGTATCCTAGAATAAAGAAGGACCATTAAATATGAGCTAGAGGAAATCTTGTTACAAGAGGAACTGATATGGAAGCAACCATCCATAACTTAATGGCTCCAAAATGGTGATAAAAATACAAAATATTTTCACAGACGAGCCTTAGAAAGGAAAGCCAAAAGTATGATTTGAAAGCTAAAACATGAAGATGGAAGGAACTCCCAGGGGCAACAAGAGGTAGGTGGCTGCATATTGCAATTCTACAAGAAGTTATACACATTGAGAGCAAGAGTAAGTTCAAATGAAGTGGTTAGGGGTGGGCAATGGGTTGGTCTACACCCAACCACACCTGACCGAATCAGTGTTTGGATTAGACCCACACCAAATCGAATATAATATGGTATGGTCCTTGGTCCTATGAATTTTATAAATACTTAAGAAAAATAGACCGAATTTACATTTGGACCGGATCAAAGCGGACCAAACGGACCGAATGCACTATTGGTCCGGTCCTTGGTCCTAAGTTATCTTTCACTATTGGACCGTGATTCTTTAAATTTGGTCCAATTCGGTCCAGACCAAACCGATGCCCATCCCTAGAAGTGGTAGAAGCTGTACCACAGATAGTTAGTGCACCTATGAATGAAGAGTTGCTAAAAACTTTCTCTAGGGAAGAAATTTTGGCGGCTTTGAAAGCGACGGGGACTTTAAAAAGCCTTTGGAGCTGATGGAATGTGTGCTATGTTTTCTCATAAAAATTAGGACATTTTGGGAGATGTAGTGATGACAGAATTACAAGGGTACCTTGAAGCAGGTAGTTTCCCTCAAGAGCTCGACCACACGCTGATTGCTTTGATACCAATGGAAAAGAATCCCCAGATCCCAATTGATTTTCGCCCTATTAGCTTATGTAAGTTATTTTACAAGATCCTCTTTAAAGTCCTGGATAACATGTTAAAGGATATTCTAGTCCCAAACCAAAGTGCATTTGTGCCAGGGAGACTTATTATGGAAAGTGTAATGATAGCTTTCGAATGTTTTTGCTCCATGAAGGTAAGAACTACAGGATATAAGGGTGATGTGGCAACAAAACTTGACATTACTAAGGCTAATGACAGAGTGGAGTGGGATTTCGTAGAGGTTGTTATGCTGAAACTGGGTTTCGATGCTAGATGGGTTCAAATGATGATGCCTTGTGTCACTAATGCATAATTTTATACTATGGTGAATGGGCACCATACCTAGATTTTTTACCAGAGCAGAAGATTAAGACAGGGGGACTCAATATCCCCCTATCTCTTCCTGTTTGTAGTAGAGGGTCTCTAAGCTCTGATCACTAAGGCAGAAAGAGAGAAGAAGATTGAGGGAATCAAGGTAAGGAGTAATGCCCCACAGATTTCGCACCTATTGGTTGCGGATGATAGCATTCTTTCACTAAGGCAAACAAGTCAGTGTGAGAAATAGAGGGAAATCCTACACTTATATGAAGCAGAATCGAGTCAGCAGGTAAACATACATAAATTTGACTGTCTTTTAGCCCAAATATTAGACAGGGGAGGAGAAGGGAGTTGGCAAGCGTTTTGAACATGAAATGTGTGGATCACCATGAGAAATATATGCGTTTAGCCATAGTTATTGGCCGATCAAAGAAACAAGTGTCTGGTTATTTGGTTGACAGAGTTCGATCTGAGGTGAAGATGTGGAAAGTAAAGTTACTATCAGTGTCAGGCAAGGAAGTGTTGATTAAATCTGTAGCACATACTCAAATTACTTTTACTATGTTCATTTTCCTGATACCAACGAGTACTTTGAACGAAGTTAAGAAAGCTATAGCCAATTACTGGTGGGGTCAACAATAAGAAGAATACAAGACCCATTGGTTAAATTGGAAGGAGCTCTGCAGACCTAAGAAACTGGGTCACTTAGGGTTTAGAAATCTATAGAGTTTTAATCTAGCTTTACTAGGCAAACAACTCTAGAGAATTGTCCAAAACCAGGAGACATTAGTTGCTAGAGTGCTGAAAGCAAAGTACTTCCCCGACCGAGACCCTCTTGAGACATAAATTTGAGTGAATCCTAGTTGGGGTTGGTGTGGTTCAATGGAAACAAAAGGATCTAGTCAAACGAGGAATGCGATGGAGACTGGGGAATGGACATATGATTGACATCTGGCTGGATAAATGTGCACGAACGAGTGAAAATCTAAAGGTTACCTCCCTTGTCTCTAATTTAGGGACTTCCACTTCTGTAGCGGAGCTGTTAGACCAGGTAACAAGATGTTGGAAGAATGATCTGCTCCATACACACTTTAGCCCAAAAGATCAAATCAATATCCAGAGGATACCTATACCCACGAAACCAACCGAGGACCAGCGAATTTGGAGCAGGGAGAAATCGGGACAATACACAGTTAAATCGACCTATAGATTATGGAAACAAAAAATTAGTCAGAGGAAGGTGAACTCTACTCGCTAGTGAATTGGAAGAAGGTTAGGGATAGAAGATACCACCAAAAGGTGAAGCTTTTCGTGTAGAGATGGCTCTGTAATATCCTACCTACGGGAGCCTAGATTTTAGAAGGAACTCAAAAGGGTACTGAAGGGTGCCCTTTCTAAGATCCCAAGGAGACCCAAGAACATATACTACGGGAATGTGGTTGGGTGCGTAGGGTGTGGAGACCCATTCTGATGCATGTCCTTTTTTACAAAGGATAGAATATTACCTTAGAAGAGTGGTTATGTGAGATTTAGGAGATGGAGTCGAAGGAGAGGTTGGGATTTTTTCTAGTGTTTCTCTGGTACATATGAGATCAATGAAACTGCCATTTGTGGAACAAGAAGAAGTTAGAATAATGGGAAATTATGCTTAGGGCGAAGGATTGGCTGAACGATTACCTGGAGAAACAATTACGCATCGAATCTCTGAAAAGGAATGGAGATATACTATGGAAGCCACTTGAACTTGCTCCGATAAAAGTCAATGTTGATGAAGCTTGCTTCCCGGATCGAGGTAGAGATTGGGGGGGGGGGTGATTCGTTATAGGGATTGAAGATGTTTGTTTGCGGCAATTAAGAGATCTCGGGTTCAGTGGGAACTGGAGGAAGTAGAAGTCATGGCAATCGATTTTGCGATGGAGCTAGCAAGGCGCTTCGATAACTGGAAATGGAGATAGAATCGGATTGCCTACACGTTATTCCGCTCTTCTTATTTTGTTTTCCACATGGCTGTCATGTCGGTGGCATGCCAGCTAATTGAAACCGGTGTGACACCAGCGGTATGACAGACATGATCAACTTAGAAATTCTAAACAAAATGACATCATTTTAATGAATTTAATTAATAATTTTTTTTTTCATTTTATGAATTTAATAGTTAAAAGTTGATGATATCTGTTAGATTGTAAGTAAATTATTCACAAATATTTTTATTATATGATTAATACATTGGATATTAATCGTTTCACATTTTTTAAATCAGAATGAACCGAAACAAACTGGTTATACCACCAGTCGTACCATTCCACTTGCCAAATCGACACAACGCACAACGGTATAAACCGGTTTGACAACCTTGGTTTTCCATCTTGAGCTAGCATCTTGTTTGCTTAGATATTGAGTTGAATCAAATGGTTTTTATGTTTGAATGGTGTTTGGATTTGAGATCGCAATGAGTTACCAATTGTGGTAGGGTGAAAGAACTACGATTCTTTGGGTTCAAATTAAATTAGGAATTGAGATTGGGAAGAATATAATTGGGGATTTAGAGATTTAGAAAAATAAAATGGGAATCAAGGAGAAGATGACCAACGACCTTTAGAAATAGGTGAAGAATTTGAGAGAAGAACTTTGATAATACTTTTCTTAGTAATTTTACGTAAAACCCAAGTACGTATATATAAGAAATAGACTGCAAAACATAATTGTCGCAACCGTCCCTCGGGGTTGCAACAAGATTTGGCCCGGACAAAATGTGGCATCTATAATAATAATAATAATAATAATAATAATAATAATAATAATAATAATAATAATAAGAAGGACTAATGTCACTAGAAATACCAACCTTTAGCGAAAGTGTCATTTATATTACCAAACTTCAATAATCACATTAATATTTCAAACAATGGGTGGTATAGGTCATTTGTGTTATGTGAATTCCTGTTGGACGTTAAAGTTAACTATTGACCTAAATGTGGTTAAAATTTGTCCGACCAACAATGATGTGACATCTATGTGTCATCCCTGTATGCGACACGTAGATACCACGTAAGAAATTATATTTAATATTCAAACTAATTATTAAATAATTAATAATTTTTATTTATTCAATCCCATCCACCCTTTCTTTTGTATAGGCATCAGTGACATTGCATACGAAGGAGCTGTTGCGTCGCCGCCGCTGGGGAGAACAAGGCAGAAGGGATTTTCCTCCATCTTCTTCATCTTGCCCTTCGATCACCACCGCCATCTTGAGATTCGCCCCTCCATCCACCAATCTGAGACACGCCACCTCTTCCCCAACCTGAACCATCGAGTTTTCAGTGGAAGCCGGATGAATGGTGGAGGCCAATGGGGCCACCGAAGCTGCCGCATTTGGTGCAGAAGCAGCGGTGGAGCAACAATCTCTGTCGCATTGGATCTGGAGTGCTGGAAGCGGCATTAAAATATGAAAATTATGCAAAACATATGCCATAAAATAGGGATATGAAATAGTACTTTTTACGTGTCATCAAAATTCTAGAACAGTAAAAGCAAGAGAAGAAGTGAAGATGACCATCTTCTCACTCGGCTATCACTACACCTAATCCCAACTATAGGCCAAATGCAACCTATAGAAGGTATAGAATAGGGTAAGTATTTCAATTTCAACTCGGACGATCTATCTACTCTTACTTCAATTGTTCACAAGTTATCTACCAATCGGAGTGTAGTTAAAGATTAGAAAACTAAGCAAATTATAAGGTTAACACTATCTATTAGTCAAATCTTTTTAGCATTCTTTTTTATTAGCTAAACCTATTGAATTACTAATAATTAGCCAAATTTTTTTTAATACATCAAAATATTAACCATTTTTAGCTACCGTTAATAATTTTGTAACTCTTTTCTCAGTTAAAATATTAAAGTTTTGGAATATTGACTTCCATTTGTATCTTTAAAATAAGTAACACGTTCTCAAGTCAATATTACTAACAAAATTGCTAACGTTAAATTAACATTTCCCTAATTATTAATAATTCAATTGGTTTGACTAATAAAAAGAACGCGGGAAATGTTTAGCTAATAATTAGTGTTAGCCCCAATTAAACAATAAAATTAAACTTCAGAAATGCTAATTTTCTTCTTCTCTCGATTCAATTGGTCTTTGTGCACATAGATAGATGATCCCTCCCGCAATCGTATTCTCCTGCTGAAGCTGATTCACTGCCTTGTCTGATGTCTCTATAGGTCGACGAGATTATGAAGACACTTTTGTTCACATAGTGCCTGCATATGTGAGAGACAGTCTTGTGTCGGTTTGTATCATGATTGTTTCCTTCTTTGTTTTCTATTAGATAGCGACACAAAAATGTGCCATATTTTGACTTGAGTGGAGCAATCAAGGAGCAACAAGAGCTATAAAAGGAGTGGGTATGCCACAATAATTCCTCACCCTAAACTCACAATACCCAAATAGCTCATAGGGTCACCTGAGAGGAGGAGAGTGTACATAAACAGCTGAAACAGAGAAAAACAGAGTGAAGCAAAAATATGGATTCCGGGTTAAAATTGGCGATGGCAGCTTTCTTGCTTCTGGGTATGTTGAGCTTCGTTGTTGACGCAAGACTTCCGGTGAAGAGCATTATCAGGGGACCAGATTGCGTAGGCAAATCAGAAGATAGAACGTACAACAAAAGAGTGGGACGTCTAATAGACATTTTGGTCGATGAGACGAAAAATGTGCGACGTGAAAATTATAACGATTATAGTTACGTTCATAGCTATCCCAGCCGTGATAGCGGCTCTGTCATTGGTGGCGCCACTTGTGATAGGCAGCTCTGGGAACTGGATTGCTGGTCATGTTTGGTGACCGCCAAGAACAAGCTTAACGACAACTGTGGCCACACCCATGACGCTAGGATCGAACTCGCGGATTGCTCCATTTGGTATAAAATGATTCATTAAATTCACTCTGTTTCTCTTTGTATATTAAAAAAAAATGTGCCGCCTCCTCTCCTAGATCCTTGAGCTTTGTATTTTTCATCGTATTTTCCATCCTATATTTTCTTTTGTTATATATTGTTGTTACTGGTTATGTTTAGGGTCTAGCACATGTAATACTTCAATTTCTAACTTTGTAACCAATTATGAGCGGAAACTATACTTGTCCATCTTGCATATGTGTTCTTAAATTTATGATTAAACAGATCTTTCCCATCAATACTAGTTTGAGGATGGTTACAACCAACTTTTCGCCCTTCATCTACTTTTCAAACTCATGATATTCAAACATTACTTGTATTTTTCACTTGGCAAATTGAGTATAAATTTGTTAGACGATCAAACCCCCAACCATACGTTTTTTGGTTTTTCCGAACTGACACGATTCTAGAAGTGAGAGATGATACTTTTTCTAATCGTCTGTTTTTCTTACTTGGATCCCATCTCATTCGTTTTAACTCGAAATGTAATAAATGTTGCATAAAAAGAACACATGAATTATTGTCTACAAAATGAAATACATTTTACTATATTTTGAGCAAAGAAAGACACATTTTCTTCATTTTAACTCAAAACTTAAAAAAAAAGTTTGGTAAAATCACACGTTTGGTCACTCGATATATCAAGTTTTTTTCACATTTGACACGGAATATTTTTTCTTTCTTACAATTCACTAACTTTACATTTTGTTTCATTGATGATCACTCGTCGTCCCAACTTTCTTAAGTTCATCCTAGGTGATAGTCAACTATAATGTTTGATCGTTAAATTGACTACATGTCAATAGAAAAAAATGTAAGTTGGAACATGGAAGCTGTTGATCGAGGTCTTCCGCTCATGTAATGCGGAAAGAGAAAGAAATCATTTTTTCTTTTATGAGACTTTCCTCGGCATAAAATTATACTATTGATAGGGCAAAAGGGTATATGCCAATTTCCTATCTCGTAGTAAACCGGAAAGTCCGGGTATCGTCTCTCAGGGACTGTTACAACCGTATGATTTATCAATTCTATGGAGTAAACTATAGGTGGTAATGCTTTAATGAGATTATTAACTACTAGCAAATAAATTAAACTAATTAAGCAAAGTAAAATGATCGGGAGAAAATCAATGGGAGAAAGCTCTGGGAGAAACACCGGGATTCACTACCTACCCTATCCAGATTAATTCATATATTCCAATCAATTTAATCCATACCTCTACAGCCAGGATATCACGAATGTGCTAGCTATCCCTGTCGGGAATTACTACGTACTAAAAAATTAATTCAAATCTTACTGTCGTAGCTCAAAGAGTTAATTATTTAGTCTGAAGATCGATATCCTATTTAAGACCGCATAGTATCTTATTTAATCCACTGTCGCTTCGATAAGTTACTATGTCACATGAAATATGTTCAGTTATTAGGGTTTCACTGTCGCTAATAACCTAATTAACTACGATTAATTGTATTGGTGGCCAGTCAACACAAAGCATTAAGTAATTTCATGCAATAGAGATTGGAAGAAAAGAATCATGAATTAATCCATCAAATCAAGAAATAGCTACATCCTATGGTGTTTCCCCCAGAAATTGGGGTTTAGTTCATGACGAAATTGAGATAAACATTAGGGTTTTGTTCATCATGTTCTAAATCAACAAGAAACAACTAATTCGGTTTAGAAAATCCAACCAACTAATCACTCTCGTTGAACTCAGCTCAAACCTTGGAAAAACTGATCGCCAATTGCCAATCGCCAATCACCGCTTGATGCCGTCTCCACTGCGCCTCTTTCTCTCCTTTTTTCTCAAAGAATTCGCCCCCAATTTAATTGCCTCTCGTCCCCTTTTTTATTACACTTCCGCCGCCAACCAAAAAAAAGACCTCCAAGTCCCGCTGCCTTTCTTTAATTCTCTTCAGGCCCACCAGACCACTTTTGGCCCTCTCTAGAGATTGGCCCAGCCACCTGCTATTAATTCCTTTTTGTCCATCCCCTTGGCCCGTCATTAATCCCCATCCAGCTTCCTGAATAATGCCGCCCTCTTGATTAATTCCCAGCCGCCAATTCCAATTCCGTCCAAAATTCCTGTCTCCTCTAGAAAATAACCCGCCGCCCAGCAAAAGTAGCCCAGTCGAGTGGGCTTTGGCCCACTTAAGCTTCTGCTCTGGCCCATGTCATTAATCCCCATCCAGCTGGGCTTTAAGCCCAACATTCGAGAATTGTTTGCCGGTGCAACTTCTTTTTCGTGTTTTCTTCACCTGTAATACATCAAACTCATGCCACTAGGCAGTAATGGTTTTTCAACCATTCTCGGGTTAGCGAGCCCTAAAATAGCACCAATTTGCTAAAACATACCATGGATAATCACATAAAGTCCAAAAATTAAATATGTTAAAGCCGATTATCACAACCCCACACTCAATTGTTGCTTGTCCCTAAGCAACGACTCAAACAACACAAACACATAATCATCCAAAACAATGATACATTACAGGCTCACTAATCAAACACTCAAAGCAAAACACAAAATTTCCTTGTACTCTTGTTGTAATCAGTAGTTTCTTTCTCAATGGACAAGTTGTGCTCTAATGGTCATACCTTTCACCCCACACTCAAGTTCTTTGCAACCATTACCATTGACTGACTCAAATCCACCAAAAACTCAAATAGCAACACTCAATTTTGATCGTCGGTAGTGGGTGGTTAACAACTTATGGTGCAACAATTATTAGGAGAATCTAACCACATCAGTGAGGTGCATATCTCGTGAGGACAGTCTGGCTTACTCACACCAATCATAAGCAATTAATTAAGCATGAGTCTAAAAAACTAATGGGGGAAGCCTTTCGCAAACATGATTTTAACTTTAAGCACATCACTACCTTTTATGACAAGGAGAGGCTTTCTCTCTTTCTGCTTTTGCTTGCCGAGAGGTCGTATTTAGTACAAGTGGGATTTGTTTCTTACTACCGGTGACCGAGCAAGAGCAATTTTTGCTTCTTAGCACTCGCATAAGGGCTTCTTTTAACTCCTTATCCTCGGTCCGTGTGGAGGGTCACTGCACATCCTATAATGGCACTTCACTCAACTGGGGATCGTATTTGATAAGAAACTTCGTACGGTCGCGAACTGATTCTTAATTGAATCTTTCCTCATCCCCATGTGCAATGAGTGATTGCCTCACACGATTTTGGCATTTTTACTCACACTTTAATTGTTATGGCAACTTTCTTATATTTTACTTGGCAGGTAGTATTTTCTTTTATAAAGATACAGGTCACACCATCATAAAACATTCAAAACAGAGAGACTCATTGCAAAATCAGAAGTATTCACAAAGAAGAGAGAAAAAAAAAGAAAAAAAAAAGAACCTCGGGACAAGCTCCTATGAAGGAGGAGTCGATGAAGAACTGCCGAGCCTCTCATCTAGACGCTGGTTTAGCTCCTTGATCTTCTTATCTTTCTCTGCGTCTCTGGCTTCCAAGAGAGCTATTCTGGCTCTGAGCTCGTTTGTAGATGATGGTGAAGCTGGTACAACTGGTGGAGTATCTTCTGGATGCGGAACTGGAGGAGGATGGGACTGCTGGCCCTGGCTGACACTCGTGGCAGAGTGCCCTGCTGCTGCTGGTGATGATGAACAAGCACCCAGAGGCATGGGTGTAGGAGCTGGAGTTGTGGTCGGAGTGGCTACTGATGGTGCGGGAGATGATGCCGAAGCAGAAGTTGCTCTAGCAGCCCTTGCTGCCCTTTTCCGATTGACCTTGGTCTCCCAGTCCTTGTATTTGGCGATGGATAGATATTCACCCCGACATCCTGCCGTCCTCAGAAAACCCAATTTTCCTAACGTTGATTCCCCAAGCAGAGTCGAGCCATCACTGATCTCCAAACCCGTAGGGTTCTCACCCCCAGTAAGCTCGAGCTAATGCAGTAACGATTCCGCCACACATAATTGCTCCGCAAGTATTCAGGGCATCATTTTCAAGCATCTTACCCACAATGTACCCAACACACAATGGTGTTCCAGTAACAAAACCGTGAATGTACCTGAGATCGGTGGTGTAGACACCACTAGCATTGGATCCCTTTCCCAAGACAGTGCGAGCCAAGTAGTCATGTACTAGTGGGATTACCGGGTCTCGGATCGATGCTCTCCTCGAAGAAGTAGGATTGAAGTCCTTTCCATTTGCCACAATTGTCGTCCAAAACTCACTCAAGTCCTGTTTTTCATCAGGAATTGCATCTGCTGGACCATCGAAGAGAAGTGCTCGGTTTACTTGGATCAAAGTGAGGGACTTTGTTTTCCCAGCCAAAGTACTCTGAAGTTTGCTCTCAACCCCATTATCCTGAGATTTGGTTTATTTGAAGGTTGCAAAATTTGGGGATTTTTTGATTGTGGTAGCAGTGAACTGGAATTTGGGAAGTAGAGTACAAATTTGTGCAAACTTGTTGATTCAAGAGCAGAGGGGAGGTTTAAGAAGTTTGTTTTCCAGTTTGCACTCTTGGTTGCAGATATGGGACGTCGAAGATATATCCCTCCACCAAGGCAGTTCAAAGTCACTGATCAAAGTGAAGATGGGAAGATTGTTTACCGTTCATGGACGATTGAAGATAGCCACAAGGTGACCGACAAGGACAGCCCAATTCCAGAAGTTCCTCCACAACTTCAAGCGGTCAACATGCCCACTCGCTTTCACAGGGTGATCACCGGCCAGGTTGGACCCACGATGCGGTCCCAGACTATTGAGATGACTTCTCCAACTCCATCTCCACCACAACAGCCTGCTCAAATGCCTACTGAAGAATCTCCACTCCCTGATTCAACACCAGTTGTATCACTTGAGAGCAGGCCATCAAAGAGGAGTCGTCTCCAGCAACCGAGCTCATCTTCATGACCACAGAAGCCTTCTTCTTCAGCACCTGCACCATCCACGACACCACGTCGTACTACCCTAGTTGCAAGCAAGAAGAAGGCTGGTACTCCTC